GAGAGAGAGAGAGAGAGAGAGAGAGAGAGAGAGAGAGAGAGAGAGAGAGAGAGAGAGAGAGAGAGAGAGAGAGAGATCAGAATACATAGCAATGAGGTTCTCGTCTTTTCCCAAGCAGGCAGTTTGTGGATGCAGACTACGAGAGGAACGAATGTGGGACCCAACATACCTCGTATATACAAAAAAAAGAGGGGAAGTAATGTGAAAACATACCTCATATTTCTCGATCGCACGGCGATCTGCATCGATCAGCTGTGTCTGCTGATTGATTTGCCGTGTGACGTAGTCCCTCACAACTCCAACTGTTATGCGCGGATTTTTAGATAAGGTCTGCAGTACGATGAGTGGCGGCAATACATTGTCTCTCTCCACCAGCTTGAGCACCTCGCGTACCTCGTTCTCACAATCCCTCTCCTTCTCTCCAAAATACGCCATCACATCCATCCAAAGTCGCGGATCCCCTCCATCTCCTGCAGTATGCAAATGCGAAATTGACAATCCGTTCCCACTGACATGTTATATATAAATGGATATTAATATTAATTAATAATATTAATAATAGTATGGACGGATGCTAGATACACAGAGTACGTATAGTAGTCGTATACCTCCTACCTGTTTCATCAAGGGTTCAATCGACTTCAATGTCATCACATATCATCGAGCTGTAGAGAAGGTATGTTTCCAGCCCGATACACTGAAAATGAGGGTGCGTTGTGTTCGTGGGAAGACAGCAGCCACATTCCAACTTCATATTCTCCAAAAGGACCATGCGGACTTGATATCATCCCCAGCTTCCTTCCATATACATCACTGACGGTTTTGTGAGTGCAGCACATCATTGCCGTATCTTCTTCTTTTTCTTTCCCCCCAAAAAAATTGGACCATTTCTCAATTTATGCATGTCATCCTTGAAGGCGCAGGGGCCATGCTAATCTTCTTTCTCTCTGTATCATTCCAATTTTAACAGATGTCCCGAAGGACACATCATTGCGATATCTTATCAACACAAAGCAAGCATCATTGCAATCCTCATTTCACCTTTATCTATCCAATCCATTTTGTTTCTCGTATGTATCATATCTACCCCTCTTGCCTCCCTCCCTCCTTGACTGTGTCACTTCCCTACCCCCTTGACTGTGTCACTTCCCTCCCCCTGGCTCTCTCTCTCTCTCTCTCTCTCTCTCTCTCTCTCTCTCTCTCTCTCTCTCTCTCTCTCTCTCTCTCTCTCTCTCTCTCTCTCTCTCNTCTCTCTCTCTCTCTCTCTCTCTCTCTCTCTCTCTCTCTCTCTCTCTCTCTCTCTCTCTCTCACACACACACACACACACACACACACACACGCCTCCTCAGTGTGCTAGAGTCTTGAATTGACGCAAATAGCAGCATAGAACTGTGCACACGTCTCCAAAGGAAGGATTTGGGCAGCGAAGGAAAGTGGTGGGCCATCAACCACCTTGTACCTGAGTCTGCGAGCTTCTTACAGCAGTCGATGAGGCCTTGGTAATCTTCAGCACGCATGTACACCGCCATAACTTCTTTGTAAAGATGCATCCTCTCATAAAGAAAGAGCAATCCTGGCTCAAAATTGTGCATTTGGCAGAGCACAAGAGCGAGGTCGACATCATAGTTTGGCTGCTGCCCCGGCACAGCCCATCCGGTCTTCAGAAGTTGCAGTGCCTTCTGCCTCCTCTTCTCTCCATCTTCCTCGAAGCCTTGTCGTTCATCCACCTGTTCTTTCCCATTTGCCACCGGTGCCGCCAAGTTTGCCTTGTCCGCGCTCTCGATCTGCGTCAGAGCGGGTATGCTCAGCTGTCCTTCACACAAGTACAGTTCAAGCAACATGCTCTTGATCTCCGATGCGGCAAGCGAATCCAACTCCCCTGCCTTCTGTGCGTACTGTTCTAAGAACTTCATCAGCCATAGCGGGCGGTCCACGAACAGGTGCACGAAGTCCATGGGAGATGGAAGCTGCTCCTCACGAACATACGGCTCCTCCTCCCTCTGCCTCGTCTCCGCAAGCTCGCCCTCTCTCAGGTCCAAACTAATGGCTCGGGTCTTGGGCAACAAATCAGCACTTGACCCCCCCTCCTCTATCCCCCTCTTGCTGATGCTCACCCCACCACTTCCCCCATCCATGCATATCTTCATCAACACCTCCGTCGTCTTCTTCGGCCTTGCGCCGACCAACAATTTGCCGTACTGCTTCAACGTCAGAGCGGCTTGGTAGGGTGGCAGGCCGGAAATGTACTCGAGCGCCTCTTCGTAGCGTCGCAGGTCCTCCAATAAGATGCGAAGGTAAGATGCATGATCTCCGGCTCGCTTCGCCACATACATAGCATGTTCAAAGTACCCAGCCGCGCGGCAGACGCGGACTGTTGTCTCCACATCGAATCGATGTTCCCCCTCAGCCTTGATGAACTGATCAAGCTTTTCGACATCCTTGAGCTTTGTGTAACAGTTCAGGAGGAGTGTTGTGTGGTCGGCAGTCGCCAGACCTTTGCTGTGTAATCTCTCCAGGTACAATGTCAGGTTGTTGATACGTTGAGCATCCAGAAATTTCTGAATCACATAGGAGGGCTCTAGGTACCTGCATTTCAGCTTGGCCACACAGGACAACATACAGTCCAAGAAGATTTCCCCAATCCCTTAGCACACACCAGAGAAAATATGAAGCTTACTTACTTTTTTTTTTACTTTTTTTTTTTAACTGACTGAAGCCATTTTAAGCTTACTGTTACGATCCTGGCCAATTTCCAAGTACAAATTCATGAGAAAGGACAATGCTGTCCAATTGCAAAAGAAATGAATGACCTTGAGAGGAGGAGGAGGAGGAGGAGGAGGAGGAGGAGCAGAAGCAGAAGCAGAAGCAGAAGCAAGAAGAAGAAGAAGCAGAAGAAGAAGAAGAAGAAGAAGAAGAAGAAGAAGAAGTAGGCCGAGGCTGCGGCGGACTACTAAGTCCCTGCCCTGACATGCAAAAGACAACGCAAACCGGCTATGGCTCTTCCCACTCAAGCGCCATGCATGGATCTTCCTCGAAGTTTCTTGGTGTAGCTCTACCCCACAGCGTCCACCAGGGTGATGAAGATGGCGTCCACCATAGCCAGGTAGGTACCCCTGGCGCTCTCTTACCCTAGTCCCCTTCTTCCTCCTCCTCCTCCTACCCGAGCTCCCCCACCATGGTCAAGGTGGGGAGCTGGGCGCCCTTTTTTTCCCCACAGCGCAGCACACTAGCGCTGCTCCACCACTCGCTCCAGCAGCGTGTCGCCCAAACTTGCACGCACCAAACGAGGAGGACCACTTCGCTCCTCCTGGAGATATAGCGGCTAACTTGCCTCTTGGGCGGTGACTTCCAGGCTGCATCGGCCTCCAAGCAACCGGTACCTCTTCCCTTTCAAAAAGAAACATCGTTGCTGACTCTGATATCGCCCGTACTCGGCCTCTAAAAATGCCAACTTTTGTCTTCTTCTGCTCGGCCTCCAGTCCCCGACACATCTATCGCTACTTGGTGTGGTACCGGCCTGCCTGCTACTCGAGTGTTTTTCCCCGCTACTAAGTGTCGCGGGGGTGTGCGGGTCACACACACACTCAAGCCAACACGAGTGTTTTTCCCCGCTACTAAGTGTCGCGGGGGTGTGCGGGTCACACACACACTCAAGCCAACACGCACTCAGACAGGCAAGCAGACCCGCAAGCATGCACACACACACAGACTTCGAGAACTCAGCACAAAGCGGGAATCTCAGCAAGGCCTTCATTCCAGCAGCAAAACTCAGAAATCGCCTGTGTTCTCAGTCCGTGTTTGGGCAGGTCCTTACATACTAGCTTAGGTTATATATTCACATTCGGAACTTTCTTTGGCGTATATGACCCCTAATTACAGCCAGAATCGGTTAAGAGAGCTGCTGTGTGAGGATGCCCTTATTCAACTGTGACGCGACTGTGTTGGGCGGAAGTCACTATCGTCTTCACCCGAATACGACTCCCGGTCACTATAGCTGAATGTGGGGCAACTTCCAGTCTGGAGTACAGCGATAATGACCAAGCGGTCTTTTCTTTTCTTTTCTTTTCTTTCTTTTTTCTTTTTTTTCTTTTTTTCTTTTTAAATGCAGACTCCCTTCTCCTAATATGGGGGACAGCTACATTTTTATTATGCTATTTTAGCATTTTCTTCTCTCAATATTTTATTGTTTTTCCGTCTCACACTATAATGACCAAACGTTCCATTCGAGTGAAGACGGCAACTCTCACCACTGCAAACCATCTCCTACCGACTTCACCCGAATAGAGCGCCTGGTCATCGTTCCTGTATTTTGTGCAAGTTTCAGTCTAGATACTGTGATAATGACTGGGCGTTCTTTTTTTTACGGCCTTGGGATATCTTCGTTGATCCGACCGGCCCTAGGTTCCCCTCATCAAGGTCCAGCAGGATTTGAACTCAGGTCTGTATTTCAACGGTTAATGGGTGTACCAACTGAGCTACTCGGGTGAAGACGGCAGTAGTTACTGCTACTCTTCTTTTATCCTTCTGCATTATCTGGGCAAGAAGTGACTGCCAAAGTAAAATAAAATAAGTTCAAATAACATTAAAAAAAAAAGTTTAAAAAACATTTAAAAAAAAAATGACTGTTACGGTAAAGGAGGCCCTTGGAGGCTGCAGTGCTTTAAACCACCACTACCTTTCCCAGGCAACATCGAGAGAGAGGAGGGGGGGGGGGGGGGGGGGGGGAACGAAAAAAAAATGTAACATTCCGGGTTCTTCGGAGGCTTGGGGCTTACCTGACCCCAAAGGCTGGTGGCGGCAGGAAAAAAAAAAGAAAAAAAAAAAGACCATGCTGGCACTTCAGCAAAGCTTGGTGCACAGGGAGAAAAATCCGCCTCGGCAAAAAGAGGCTCAGACGTAGTGGCGGTTTAAACCACCAGTACCCATGAGCCGCTTTCCCAGACCTTCACTGATGGGCTGTGTACTAAAAAGGTTGGGATCTGCCAGAGAAGAGGCTCATGGATGGATCTGGTCACAATTATGCTACCCATCCATTGTTGAAAAGCAGCTCTACCAGCCTATGCACAGACCAAACACAGCTTATCTGGTAAGAGGAGGGGGGAGGGAGCGAAGAGAGCGCTGGGAGAAGGGGTGAATCCATAGGACTGCCCGTTTAAAATGGCCATAACATCACATACAATTTCATCCTTCTTAATGCTATACTACGGCATTAACGAGCGTCATACATGACATTGAATCATGCACGTGGAGCAGGAAAGAAGTATTACGTAAGGAAGGAGACGTTTGGCGTCAACAACTCGACATCTCCTCCAGGCACGGCTCTTCTCGCCGCTCAGACTCCCCGACTTGTCAGCCACCCCTTCCCTCCTCCTCAATTTCATCGATGATATCTCCCTTACAGATACGGACCCCCCCCCTCTCTCTCCTATCTACCGTCATCCCTTCCACCCAATCCGTCTTCCAACCCCAAAACGACCCCGCCGTCACCTCTTTTGTGGATCCCGGCAAAGCTGATAATTACTTACCAGTCTGCTTTCAAACCCCAAAAATCCACCTGGGACAGCGACAAGAGGGTGTACCAACTAGCTAGGCCCGTTGGTAGACTGAACAACTTTTGACCCAGGGTCGGATCGAAATTCTTTGCCTTCCTTGCCAATAATAAAATAGATAGACCAGAGAGGCCCGGGTCCACTTGCCCGGCCGGGCCAAAAAGAAATAAAAAAATAAAATTATTTTTTAATTTAAAATTTTATTTTAAATTTGATAAAGAACTTCGATGTGACCCTGAGGCAAAACTTGTTCAGTTTATTTTTCTGCATAACATAGTTTTTTTTTTTCGGATTTTTTGGATTTTTTTTTTTTTTTTTGGTGGTGGGGGGGGGGGGCTGGGACCTTCCCCGGTCTTTGCACGGCCGGGCCGCCCGGGAAAATAGGGTGACCCGGGCGGCCCGGCTGGTAGCCTAGTAGATATTGACGATATATATATATCGTCACAAACATATATATTTTCTTTTTTTTTCTTTTTTTCGCTCGACCAGGCAAGTACTCCTGGACCAACCACTCTGGTAACATAGATAGTTTTTTTTTTTTTTTTTTTTTTTTTTTAATACTCGAACTTAGCCAAGAATTTCAAGATGACTCTCAGGCAACTGTTGTTTGTTCCGGCGGTCCTTGAGCACATACATACCCAATCGTCCGGATATACTGTGCCATTGCTTCTTCATAATCTTGCTTCTCGTACAGATGGTCACCGAACTTGCGCATTACCTCCGCTACTGCCGCGCCATCTGCGGAGTTCTGACTCTGTACCAAATTGATTGCCACAAGGTACAAGTTCTTTTTGAAGAGCATCTCCAGCTTGGTTCCCATGTCCTTCTCCGCGAGCGTAATGACTTTGCGCTCGTTCTCTTTCTCACCTTGAACGATGATGACGATCATGCCCCACTCCATGACAACCTCCTCTACAACTCCGATGGGCACGGAGAAAACAATCAACTTATTCTTCAAGTCGTAAATGTTGAGCGCTGCTCGCTTGTCTGGGCTCCGCGCATCCGACGCCACCACAATAAGGTACCCCCGGAACCAGGCTACACACTGCTTTGCTCCGTCAAAAACCCAGCAAGGCCCTTTGCCCTCAACTTCGTAAAAGTACACAGCCTCGGGTCTCCCTAGCACAAGCTCCTGCAGCAATGAGAAGATGGCCGCACATCACAGCAGTTGTAAGCTGAAAACACACTGTCAGAAAAGATGTTGATGTCAACAAATTACACCCCCCAACAACCTTCCCCCCCAACCCCCAACCCCCCCCCCTTCCAAAAAAACAAGCAAACGATGCCCTCAACATGATAGAAGTACACAGCCTACTCCTCCAGCCCATATCGGTGAATGCTTCATGCATGCAACTGTTACTAGGAAACAGAACAAGAGTAGGAATCTGGACGGAACTACGCGAATCCAATAATGTTACATTCTACGCAACTTCTACCTCCTTTATTAAAAGGGAAAAAAAAAAAAAACAAAGGTTCTCACAAACTTCTCAGCCTCAGCCTCCATAGCACACGCTCCTTAGGAAATGAGACTTAAGGAAATGAGAATACACCCACGCATCCCACCAGTTGTAACCTGAGACGACACCGTCAGAATAAGATGATGATGATGTGAAGTTGTGAACCAATAAAAGAAAAGAAAGAAAGAAAGAAAGAAAGAAAGAAAGAAAGAAAGAAAGAAAGAAAAGAAAATGATGATCTCAGTCTCTCAGACACCGACATCAAAGAAGAGGATTTTCTGCAAAGTCTGCCCAAAACAAAAAGTCTCAGAAAAAGACAAACGACAGGCCTGGGGGTGCAGGGAAGGGGAAGGGAGGGGGGAGGGGGGGGAGGGGGGGGAGGGGAGCGGTCGTGAAAGGGGGTATAAATGGGATTTAAAAGGAGCGCCTTACCGTCTTCCCCCGAAGATAACGCACCCCGACGAGGAATGCATACGAGCTATGTTTCCTGTCCCGTCCGGTACAGCCATAATGAGGGTGCTTTGTGTTCGGGGAAAGATGGCAGTGTCGTCGTTTTTAAGGGATTCTGTGGTGACTCTCAGCCAAAAGTTGTTTGCACTGCAATTCCACGCAACATTTTCTTTTCCAAGAATCTTTTGTACTTTTTTACCTTTTCATGCCGATATTTTATCTCGCGTGCACGGAGGGAACCGGCGAGGTGGACGTAGTAGGTAATCAAGGACACAGGATGGGTGGAAACTCGGTGGACCACAGAAATTAGACTGTGAGGGGTGGGCCTGCCAGCCAGAGAAGCTAAACTGCCGTTGTGGTGCTACGGGTGTGGAGAAACCGGCCACATGAGACCCCACCAGTACGCCCAGGCCTGGGGCCGCTGCACTGCACACCAAGCTTTTTCGAACCGCCAGTGGCACACTTCGTTCCGCTTTGGGCTGGAGCCACCAGCCATTGTGGTCCCCCAGGCCCAACCCCCCAAAATTTTGAAGTAGGCGACAAACAAAAGTTCCGCAAGAAAAAGAAAAAAAAAAAAAAAAAAAAAAAAAAAAAAAAAAAAAAAAAAAAAAAAAAAAAAAAAAAAAAAAGTTCTGCAAGGCTGGGACCATGTACTGGAGAGGGGTTTAGACCAACAGTACCTCCACGGGTTTAGGCCGTTAACGCGGTGGCCGAATCGGTGCGCCGTGCGGGTCCATATGCATTTGCATCAGAGCCTCCCCAGAGGGGGCCTAAGACCCCCTGGGGTACTGGAGAGGTTTGACAGTCAATGTTGGCGGGACCAGCGGTGACCGTCACAAGGGGGAAACACCCAGAAGGCGCTGCTTATTGGAATCGGCAAGGAGAAAGAAGACTTGCTAAGACCGGTCCGGATCTTGGTACAACGCCCCTGGTAGATAAGGAGAAATGCAGCAGACGAGAGAGAACGTGCTAAAGAGGAGAAGGAGAGGAAGGAGGAGCTGGAGAAAGCAGCTCCTAGGAGGAAGCAGCCAATGAAGTGAGCTCAAGAAACGGGCAGGTCAACGAAGAAAAAGAAGCTCGGAGGAGATGTGCGACATGCAGAAATTACTAGCTCAGCAGCGTGAAGAATATTACACGCAGCATCTCTAGAAGTAGACGGTCAGACACTTATAGAAGGGACAATCAGTGACATGGTGAAGACATCTGTAAGACATCCGTAAGACATCCGTCGCAACATCCTTTAAAATTGGAATGATACAGTGAAGGAAGATTAGCATGGGCCCTGCGCAAGGATGACACCGCATAAATCGAGAAATGCTTGCTCCAAATTTATTTAGAAAACAAAAAATGATAAGGCTAAGAGACACGCGGGAAGGGGAGGAATAAGATCGTGTTGGTTGAGAGCTCTGAAGAGGAAGAGGAAGAGGAAGAAACCAAGGAGCGCACGCCACTAAGGCTGGACAAGAGAAAGCGACGGGACTCGACAGAGAGGGGGGGAGGGGGAGAGAGAGCCCTCGAATGCACGACTTCCGAAAAGTGTGGAAGGAGAGGAGCGGTGTAGGATGAAGCGCTAAGGACTCTGAAAAGCCGAAGCGAAGAGGAAGACGTACTTGGATGGAATCACAGGCAAAGAGGATCCTTCAGCGAAGAGGAAGACGTACTTGGATGGAATCACAGGCAAAGAGGATCCTTCATGGCAAAGAACCACAGTGGATAATACGGAAGAAGTACTTGGACGGAATCACAGCCAAAGACTGATAACCAGAGTGGATAATGTAGGGTAGGTAGGTAGATAGTGTGAGGTGGTGGCACGATATCGAGAGAAGAAAACAGGGCAGTGAAATACAGCTTGGCCCCGTATCCAAGGAGAAGACAGCCGTATTTAAAAGAAGAAGAAGAAGAAGAAGAAGAAGAAGAAGAAGAAGAAGAAAAGAAAAGAAAAGGCTGCATGTTCCCCATGCAGATAGATTGCAGCATTGTCCATTAAAAAAAAAAAAAAAAAAAAAAAAGACGGCTGCATGAAACCAACTGGACTAGACCCCCTGCGAGAGGGGGGGTACGCAAGGGGGGGGGGCTCCCTAAAGAAGCTAGCAAGAAGCGCCGTGGAAAAACAGTGGTAAAATGTGAAAGAAGACACATGGGAGAAGGACAATACCTGCCATTTCGGGTGACGTGTAGAAAGCGGGATCTCACATGGGATCCGGCGGAGTGGGAATGGCCAGCTCAGGCGATGCAGATGAAACAGGTGCAGCTCCAAGAATTGACCACAAAGAATATTTACAACTCGCCGCTGGAATCCGTCGACATCTGGGGGGAACTGAGGGACCGATGGGCAAAGAGGGGCTGGATCCCGAGTGTGTACTTCAACAGATGGACGCAGAGGAGACGGAACGAACAGTGTTCTATTCTGGCTGCCCTACCTGACCAGAAGCAGGCGGGCATGCTATGCCAAATACACCATCGGGCCATCCCCACAGCGAAATGGCTAGCAACAAAGAGCTGACACAAGGACCAGCAATGCGCAACAGGTTGCGGACAAGTCGAGGCTATTCCTCACCTACAATGCCCGATAGATCGGAGATTCTGGTCGCAAACAAGATGCCGCTGGACTTCACAGAGGAAGATGATGCAGCAATCCTCCTAGGGATTCTAATGAAAGTCGACAGACCGAAAATTGAGGGGCTAATTGCAACAGAAATCATACCGCGGGCGGTATTGTGGCCCCTGTGGCCCCTGCGGAACGAACGATGTAGGCAGGGAGCATCCCCGCCACTGCAGGCATATCAGGAAAGGGCCTTGGAGAACATTAGAGTGGCCCTCCTGGCGGACCTTACTCGTAACAGACACACAGGCGGGGTGGGGGGGAATGCCGAAGCGTAAATATAAGTGTGTACACAAAAGATTGAAAAGAGCGGAAATGAAAGCGTGTCAGTGAAAGAGCGCAAACGAATAAATGAAAGAGCATAAATGAAAGGATACACTCGCCACTGCTTAGTATATATGGGAAGTAGTGGAGTGAGGCGCTTGGTCTTGTGTCGACCAAGACTGATTTTACAAGAAAAGCGACTTGCAAATCCCGAGCTATCCTAGTCAACACAAGAGCGAAGCAAATAGCAACTGAGGTTTTGTGCAGAGTGTGCTTTCCAGGTTTTCCATTTGCGCGTGTGAGCCTACCAGGAAAAAGATCCGGTGCCATTTTCAGCCTCTCCATTCGACGACCTGTAGTTGGACACCATGATAGATAGCCCAGTAAACTAGACGGCGCGCCATCATGACATAGACGGAAAGGAGACCAGCCCGCAAAATATGCAAAGTGTAATGACCCACGCAAAACACAGACTGAGAACACTGCTGATTTCTGGGATTTGTCAATGGAATGAATGCCTTGTTGTGATTCCCGCATTCTGCTGTGGTCCCAAGTCTGTGTGTGTGCGTGCCTGCTGGTTTGCATGCCTGTCTGAGTGCTTGCCGGTTGTGTGTGTGTGCGTGCCTGCTGGGTTGCATGCCTGTCTGAGTGCTTGCTGGTTGGGTATGTGTGTGACCCGCCAGGGTACTTGTTGGTTAATTTTAGAGGCCCAGTAGCGGTAGGTTAGAGGTAGGCCGGTACCAGTCCAAGTAGCCCGGGTCTAGGGCCTGTGCGGACAATAACAGAGCCTGCAATGATGTTTCCCTCCAAAAGGGAGGAGGTACCGGTTGCTGGGAGGCCGCTTGGCCTAGGAAGTCACCGCCCAGGAGGCCGGTAGGCCGCTATATCTTCAGGAAGAGCGGTGAGCTCTTCCTCATTTGCGGTATGCAAGGATTGGCGACATGCTGCTGGAGCGAAGCGCTGGACTGAAGCAGCGCTGCTTGGAGGTGAAGGTCTGCTGGGGGCTCAGCCTGGCTATGACGAGCACCCCAGCTTGAAGGAGGAAGAAGGGGGACATGGTAGGAGAGTGGTAGGGCACTTACCTGGCTATGGTGGACACCGTCTTCATCACCTTGTTGGGCGCTGCATCTGGAAGGCCCCGGTTGGGGTAACGCTGCACCAGGGCAGCTCGAGGCAGAGTCAGGCATAGCGGACCAAGTCAAGCAGCGACATAGCTGCTTTGGGTTGTCGTTCGGCATCAGGGCAGCATCATAGCTGCCTTCTAGTAGTCCGCCATGGCCTATGCTTGAGAGAGGAGGTTGAAGGAGGGAGG